CTTCATCTGTTGTCCATGTTCCTATAAGTTGTCTTTCATTTTTAGAATGATCACATCTTTGATTTTGGTCTACAGCATATTTATAACACAAAGGAAATAATAACTTTTCACTTTTTTCCATTTTTATTTTAACTGGAAGTACAGGATGATAAAGATTTCATGGAGGTAAAATTTTACATTTAATTAAACCAAACCATTTTTTATCATATTTTTTTGGATTAAATATTTTTACGGGATGTCCTTCAGGATAATAATCATAATAATTCACAGTTGGATACACGGTTTAAGATAGACAGGTTGCGCATCGACGTATATTAAGCTGACCAAGTGACTATGCAATGTACTAACATAAACTGACTGATAGTAAGTGCCATCTAGCGTTGACGCCTATAAGTTTTACTAAATCGTGCTAAAACAGTAATTTTATTTTGCAATGATTTTAATTATGACTATTGTTAAATTTTTTTTAATCTCTCTAGGTATCTCAAACCTCAATATTATTCACTGAGTGTCTCTTCCACTTTAGGTCTTTGCACATTGTCAGCCATTTACTATTCTACGAACTACAATATTAACGTTGTTTAATTTTATTACATACTAACTAGGTACATATTTACAACACATTTTTATAGGAAATCTTTTTTAAAATAAATCAACCAAATAAATTCGTTATATATTATTATATTATTTTAATTAGATACTTAAGTAGTAAATTACAACTAACACAAAAAGAATAAACATGACATATGCAATTTAAATTAGTTGGATAAGTAAATGATTAAGAATTTATAAAAATAATAATACTTGTGAAATACTGAAATCTTAAAAATATATTTAATTAATTAATCCTCTAATATGAAGAATTAATAATACCAATCTAAAAGTTAAACTTCTAATTTACAAAACCCTCCTGAAACCTATTTGGACTTATGGCATACAGATCTGGGATTCAGCAAAAAAATCCAATATCAATAAAATACAAGTATTCCAAAACCTAGCTCTTCGACGACTCTCCAATGCACCACTGTACGTCTCAAACCCAACATTACATAATGATTTTCAAATGAAAACCATCAACGAAGAAGCCAAATTCTTTTACTCGCGCTTCCGTAAGCGACTCCTATCCCACCAAAATCCTCTTATTAAAAACCTCTCCTCTCTAACTCTCTCAGGAAATCCAAGGCGCAGGCTAAAAAGGAAATGGTGTCGTGACCTCCTACAACTCCCAATTTAAAATATACAATATACATATTTAATATGTATAAATAATCATTTGATTAGGAGTTAACTAATTTTGATAATTTTTTTTTTTTTTGTTTTGTTTTTTTGTTTGTTGATTAGCCATGTATGAATATTGCCTCATACGCATTGTAATGTACATTACAAATATGGTGGTCATGTTGTAGGCAAATACGATGAGATTTTTTTAATGTCATCCCTAAACTTTCTTCCCATTTATTACGCTCGTTTTCAATTTTTGGAACACCAAATGACGTTTTGGATTGCTCGTGAGGTTTACGAATACAACAATAGTTATAATTAGACATTTTAAAAATTAAAATTTAAATATAATATAATATACACTGTGTTAAATATTAAATCTACAACTCAATAATTTAATAGGTACTGTTTAAATTAATGTCATTCAACATTCAACTAGTCATTAGGACTGTTTAATCTAAATAATAATCAACTAATCAAGGTTTATTTGATAATTAAAAATTAAAAAGTGATTTTGTGAAATAAAAAAACCGTGGAGCTTATTCCGTCCAGAAAGGAATATACTATAGAATATAGATTATGAATATTACCGCTAGATCGCGTTATGTGCCAGTAAGTTTTTGTAAGCGCTTTCTCATGCCACTTTTTTTCGTTCGACGCGCAACCAGTCTATCTTAAACCGTGGTTGGATATAAACTACATACATCAATATAACGCATTTTTGTGTTTTTTACCCTTAATTTTGTCGCATTTGTTCTACCTCCAAAGAAAGCATCTCTAGGATTAATAGGGTCAGCTATATCAGCTTTTTTCATTTTTTTGTATGTAGTGCTATTTATCCAATCACATTCCCATTGCTCAACAAGATTATAACCAGCTTTTTTTATTGATGTACTTCTTTCAATTGTTTTTTGATACAAATCATCCATTGTTTCATGATTTATATTATTTATAGTTTCTCGATCTTTATAACATTTAGTACAACCGTGCCAATAACATCCATGATATTGATAAACCGTTTTTGATTTATTATCAAATCCATCTACTTTACCTCCTGCTATTATTATTTCGATCCCATTTAATGCATGTGAGATATTTTTATTATTAAAATTTTGTAACCACGTTATCGATTGTTTTGAATAATTTTCATTTTTTCTTTATCTAAAACAGCTATAGTATCTTCTAACAAATATTTTGATCTGTAAATACTCATACAAACACCTGCTATAGTTGTATAGCAAAAAGGATCAATGCTAGCTATATCCAAAAATTGTTTTCTTAATTCTAAACATCCTCTTCGTAAAATATCTACATCTGAATTACAGTAAGCCTCTAATTCTTCTTTAAAAATAAATATATAATTTTCATTAATTTTTCATTATACCATTTTTCAAATTCTAGTTTATTCTCTGGTTTCATTGTTTCGACTCCATAATATTTTTTATCAGGTAATTTACCAATATAATTTTGATTTTCTACTGTATTAAAGAAATGCGGAAAGTAACCTTTTTTCAGTTCTTTGAGACCAAACGTTTTGGGAAAACTACTGAGAGGACCTTGAATAAAATTAGAACTATCTATTATTCTTATTTTTAAATATTTAATTTCTAATAACATTAGTTTTGTACCATTATAAATTGTAAATGGTTTCAGAGTGTTATCAATCAAGTATTTCAATATAAATTGTGAATCGTCTCCTTTTGCATAATGTGCTATAAATGTATAACCCCTATATTCCTCAGATATTACTTGTTTACAAAATTCTTCATTTGTATCAAACATAATTTTATTTCCTTCAAAATCATGAGCAATTATTTTATTTGCGATATGAGTTCCTGTTTCTTGTTGAGCTTCATAATCAAAAAACAAATATTTTTCTGTATAAGAACATTGATATGGTTTATTTGTAAATCCACATTTTGTACATCCTACTAAGCATTTACCTCCTTTTGCTAATCTACGTTGCATATAACATTGATGTTCATTTATTTTCACTTCTTCTAGACAATTTCTACATTTACTATAACCACAATTATGTTCCCTATCTCTAAACAATATTCTATTACAATCAATACATTTATATACATAGGAACATACATATTCGTGATTATCTAAACATTCTTGATTATAACAATATCTATTACATTTTTCACAATATATTTTATTTTTTGTACTAATTGAATGTTCAAATCTCTCACCATAATATGTACACAATTTACATATATTTTTATTTTTATTTTTACCACATTTATGTTTATCTTTATTTTGATATGGTTTATCGCACTTATTACAATAATAACACGATCCGTAGAAAGCTTTAGCGGATTTAATAACATTTTGAAACATTAAAAAATGTTTTGGTGCATTTCAGATTTTTGAAAAATATTTTAAGTAATTATTGCATTTAAATGTCACGTGTGCCGAAGTCCCCCATAGGAAAATATTTTTAGTATTTTTTTGCATTTCAATTTCTATGAAAATTATTTTTAGTATTTTTGCATTTCAGATTTTTTGAAAAATATTTTAATAATTATTGCGTTTCACGATTTGCAAAATAATTAAAGGAATATTGCATTTCAATTTCTATGAAAAAATATTTTAGGAAATATTGCATTTAAAATGAAAGTGTACCATAGTGACCCCTATACTACTTATATATAATGTATTTACGTGGGTAAACATGTTTTTTTTCGATTTTCTTACGTTATTTTACAAATTATAGTAACTGGTTTTTTTAAATTTTAATAATATTACTTTACTGTATGAATATTTTTACTACTAAATTTTTATACCATTATATTATGTCATCGTTGTATTTTTACCTAATTAATTGTTTATTTAAAAAAAAAGTATAATGTCATGTACATAATTGTAATTTAACTATTGCATTTCTTACTAATTATTCTAAACACGGTTTTATGTATTCATTACGGTTTTACAATCACTGTCAATTCATTTGCTTATTTGTACAAAATATATCTTATCATTGTAGTTACTACTATTTCAACTATGTAAAGTATGTGTGTGGAGGGACAACCTGAATTAAATATGATCGTCAGGTATTGCCCGCTCCCGGATTATGTTAATTGTCGTGCGATGGTAGTGGAATGTAATAGGAAGGTAAATAGGAAAATGGATGACGGAGAACTACAGCGAGAGAAATAACAATATCGTTGTTGTTGTATGAAAATTATAAAAATAAATAGGACGTATATTAAACATAAGTACAGGTGAAAAAACTTAAGTATTTATGTTAGTTGTAGGTGGGGGCCAACCACAAGCGGTCGCCAATACAGCGGGACAAAAAAGAGACAAATAATAAATTTACAAAAAATATAATTCGATGGTCGAGTGACAAATACACGAAGGTAAACCAAAAGGTGGGTGATAACAAAATATGAATGTAGGTGCGACCTGATACGGAATAGCTGGATAATCTGTGTCGGTGGAGAACAGCTGATTCGCGTTCGGCGGTCGACTCGTGCGTGCGTGCGTTGTCGTCTGACGACGGCCAATAATTAATGCGCGTGCGGGTAATAATGACGGCTACGACACTCACTACGCGTGCGGGCGCCGGGCGCTTGCGGATCCGGATGACCGTGCAAGTAGGTAGTTTGATTTACCAAAAAAACTGAAGCGGGAACGAGATGAGTATGAACAACTATGAACGTGATCTTAAACCCAACATGATACACGGTCACGGCGAGGGCGTGACGCGCGACAGTACGAGGTGCTTGCACAATTACTAGTCGGAACGACCAACCGCGTGGAGCGAGGGGCTACGGGTGGCTGAAAACACTTGACGAATGTTTTCGCGAGGTGCTAACGCTGTCGTACACGATTGATAGACGGAACGCGAGCACTATGGTGAGCAAAACGGCTCGGACGGACACGAAATCACAAACGGATATTGACGGCGACGGCGCACCGGTTCGCACATATATTGGACACACAAAAAAAACGATATTTGCCAAGACGGCTGAGGACCGGCGACCTTGCGACAGAAGGCACTGTGTCGGACTACTTGCAGCGGGGAAGAGACCGTCAGCGACACACCGATAACGCTTCTCTCTCCGGAGATATCGGAACGGTCGCGCGGTGTCCACAGTAATGGCGATAACGCGGGGCAAAGTCCAAGACCGGGCATACGCACCGAACATCCTCCCCCTGTTGGAAGACGTAGGCTTCCGAAACATCCATTGATCCTTGACGAGAGAGCGTCCAAACTTAAATTAACTTAAAACTAAAACTACATTTATAGAGGAAAAATGTTGTGGAAAAACAAGGAACTTATGGATCTACCGGCAATTTAACCAGTTTAACAACTGGTCTTTTGTAAGTTCCATCCTGAGTTCGCACGGTAACGACTCGAACTGTTTCGTCCTTGCCAGGATGTACTTCCGTCACACGTCCCAAACGCCATTCGGAAGGGGGCCGACTCGGGGCTTCAACAATGACCATGTCCCCAACAGCTAGATCCAATTCTTTGTGGAACCACTTCTGGCGTCCTTGTAAGGTGGTCAGATATTCCTTCGCCCACCTTTTCCAAAAGGATTGGTGACACTGACGGATCAACTGCCATCTATTTAATCGGTTGAGGGGAATCTGTGAAACGTCGAGTTCTGGAAGAGCGTGCAATGGTTGTCCGATTGAAAAATGGCCGGGCGTTAACGGAACGAGATCATTTGGATCTGATGAAAGCGGTGTAAGTGGCCGTGAATTTAATATTCCTTCGAAATAAATAAAATAATATACATATCATCTCCATCCTGGCGGCTCTCAGAAATATCGATGCAAATAATAAACAGTTCATAAATCATAATAGAAACATTTTTGTAAATAACTTTCATTTTAACAAAATAACTAAGTTAAGTTACAATTATTTATAACAAGAAATAACTTAGTTACTAACTAAGTTATTTTCTACATTCTATTTTTTTTTTAACTAGTTATTAGACATGACTAAAACTAAAATAATATTGATTTTGTTATAGACATTTCGATAAATGTTCAACCTAAATATTCTGAGAATACTGAATACAAATACTACTAATGTTTGACAAAACCAGCACGTGCAATCGATGGAAAATAATTTCAAATGCGCACAATACGAACGTAATATTTATATTTAATAGGACTTTGACAGGTTTACCTAGAAGCGGGACAATTAGCGTCCCGCGAACACGCATCGCGGGACGCATTATTTGAGCCCTGTATACGGGACGTCCCGCCTCACGCGGGACGGTTGGCAACCCTAGTCATGTCTGATTCAGAAATGATTGACTGTGAAAAACAAAAAATGTAAACGTATGTGTTCCTACAGACAAGAATGGGAGCAATCGTATCCTTTTTTAAAAAGAGTTGATACAAATGTTCATAAAGCTTTTTGCAACGTGTGTATGAAATCATTTATGATATCGCATGGAGGTTTGAATGACGTTAAACGGCATATTAGCGTTCCGGAACACCTACGGGGAGAAAGAGCTCGAAAGAATACTCAAACTTTACAACAGTTTTTAAAGCGCGATGTATTGACAACAGTCGAGGAAAAAGTGATTGCTGCAGAGTTGACAAATGTTTACCATAGCTTGAACCATAACATGTCGTATAATTCTATTGACTGCGATTCAAAGCTAAGTCCCGTGATATTTAATGATTCTCAAATTGCATCAAAAATATCGCTTGGTAGAACTAAGGCGTCATGTTTAATTTACAACGTTCTGGCTCCAGCATCAATCGAAGAAATTGTGGAAAAACTGAGATTAGGCGTGTTTTATAGTATTTCGACAGATGCGTCAAATCACGGACATATAAAATTATTTCCAATTATTGTCAGATTTTACTCGCCAGATAATGGAATTAGCACCTGCCTGCTTGATTTTTATGAGGACCCAGATGAAAAAGCTATCGATATTTATAGTAATATAAAAAATAGAATTAAAGCGCTGGGCCTAGATTTCACAAATGTATCTGCTTACTCAGCCGACAACGCCAATGTTAATTTTGGAAAAAATAATTCAGTTTACAAACTACTTTTTCAAGATAATGCCAACATCTTGCCTGCAGGGTGTTCAGCACACATGGTACACAATGTCATCCGTCATGCTATGGAAAAGTGTGAGTTTGACGTGGAAAATTTGGTACTTAAAGTGTATGGGCACTTATCCTACCATGCCCAAAGAGTTCAAACTCTAAAAGAACATTTTGCTGATGCTGGAATAGAATACCAAAATATTATAAGACACGTCAAAACGAGGTGGCTATCATTGCATCCCGCTATTGGAAAAATTCTACGCGGATTTCCAGCGTTGAAGTCTTATTTTATGTCTCTTGGAGATAACTGTCCAGTGGCATTATGAAAATATTTTAATGAAAACCACGCAAAAAAAACAGAATGTTTTCTTGGATTTCTAGATAATACTTTAAAAATATTTCAGAATGTCATCATGTTTTTGGAAAAAGATAATGCTTTATCTTGTGAAACTTTTAACATCTAAACAGATTTACGCTTAAAAATAGAACAAAGAATCAACGACAAATTCTTTGGATTTATTTGTACAAATTCCCTGACTAGTTTTTCAATTGATGAACAAGAATCCATAAAAATTGTTTTGGTTACATGGTACAAAAATGCATTGAAATATCTGGACGATCACTTTAATTTTTCGGAAGATAATAATTTGGCTACAATGCGAATATTTGCTTTGGAAAATACATTTATCTACAAGGATCTCTCTATGTGTTGTGAAAAATTATCACTCACCAAACTCATAGATATGGACGAACTTTATAATGAGTTTTGCAGTATTAAAGAAACTCTGGATAAAATTATTGAGGAGCGTAAGCAAACACATTCGTCGAATGAAAAAAAAACTATTTATGAAACTTGGCATGAACTGTTTCGGCATTTGAATATACCGAACTTATTAAAGATTTTCCAGTTTATTGTGTCTATTCCATGTTCAAATGCCGCTGCTGAGAGGGCATTTTCACTTTGCGGAAACGCCTGGACTGATTCAAGAAATAGACTGAGTGTTGAACACGTAAAGGCAGAACTGCAAGTAAAAATTAATTTTCAGTACAATTGCAAAGATTTTTATGACTATGTTATTAAAAATAAAAAATTGCTCAAATGTGACAAATCACAAGAAAAAGTACTCTTTCAAAAATAAAATCTAATTGTCTTGTGATAAGGTAGGTACTCTTAACTGAGCAAAGTGTTTTATTTAATGATTAATATTGTCATTGATTTTATAATATACAGATAGGCCATGCTATAGGACGAAATGGAAGCAAACACTTTAGTGTTATCGGCGCTCGATAGGTGTCGTTGATGTATTTGTAAATAACTATTAATTAAAATAAGAATCCACAGCGTTCGAGCATACGGCTGGCGCGCGGTGTCAACGACAATGGTCTGTGGAGTGGGGCCACGATTAAAAATATATCTATATATTAAATTATCAGACCGCCCAGTTCGTTCGCCGTTACACCGTTCCACCAGTTGTCGGTAAATTTAGCCGCATCAAAGCATTTGATTAATACGCGCAAATATTACAAGTGTGTACGCTGCTTTATTCTGAATAGAGCTAGTATAGAATGACTATATTATTAAAATGTAGGTACTATTGTAAGTTTTTGACCTAACGAATACAATTTTATTGACATTTGTAGAATAAAAAACTAAAATATTGAAAAGTATTAATAATTAAATAAAAAAGCATACATTAAACACTAAATGCTTGATTAAAAAAAATATGAAATTTATTTTTCAAGTCATTGATTTTCAAAATAACACACGTAAACTTAAATAACTAATATTATGCGATATAAAACGTAAAAAATAATATACCTACATGTAAATCAAACGGTCAATAGAGGTAGGTACCTAGTCAATTGTTTTTAAAAATACACACGTAAACTTAAATAAATAATCTAACCTAAGGCAAGTTATACCATTGATTATATTATATTAGCCCCCCCTTACAAAGTAAAATAAAAATGTTATAAACAAAATTCATATTATTTTTTATGTATAATAATTAATGTCATGTGTCATCTGTATCGAATATAATTTTTATTGAATATAATAATATAATGTATTGTATAAAAAAAGCTTTAAATATCTTATTTTAAGTTAAGTATTCTAAATGTGACTTAAAATTTTTAATTTTTCGATTTTCGCTAATTTTGATGTTGTTGCATAAAGTTTAGTTTTTTTTAAATATTTTACAAATCAAAAGTTGTTCTATAATATATAATTTATGTTCAACACATTCGGCATTAATTTTAACCCATGTTTTAATTTTCTCATTGCTTTGTATTTTGTTGGTTAAATTATTCCTGATTTTTTTTTTATGTTACACGTTGTTAAAATTGTTTTCAAAAATATTTAAAATATTATCGATTATATCATTAAATATTTTCGCCGGTGACTTAAGTCCCGTGTTAAATGATGAATAATTTTTATTTATAATAAGTATTTGATTCTTATCATTTAAATCTTTCTCTATAATCAATTGATCCTTACAATATTCACAATTAAATTTTTCGATACATTTTAATGCTAGATATCCAGCGAAATATGTCACCGAACATTCCTCTAATGTGACAGGTATTGTGTTTAAATTTTCTTGAACTGATAAAACTGTATCAATTGAACTGCATTCTGAATTCGTATCTGACGATTGATCATTTTCGATGTTCATTATCTGTTCTCCTTCCAGAAAAATCGCCACGTCTTGTTTGTTTGTTTGGCAATCGATATTTTCAATAATATTTTCACAATTTGCCCCTTTAGAAGTGCATAATGAAAATATACAAGTACTTCTAAATGACGTTCTAATCGTTCTCGCTGTTGGGTTCTTATTGTAGCCACCTTTTTGTCGAAAAATACTGAATAATTTTTCTACTTCGTCCTGGTTTAACCGATAAGTTAATATAAAACTGATTCCATTGTTATTAGATTTTTCTTCCTCAAAAAAATTAAGAATGCCTGTTATAGTTTGTATAGTGCCTTTAAAACATGGAGGTTTAGTAATTTTGCCTTTTTTATTTTTTTGTAAATTAATAAAATATTTTATAGCTTCATTTAAAAATGGTTTTACAATACTGGAATCAGATAATCCGCAATTGTATGGATTTGAACTATACAATGTTCTGCTATTCAAGCAATCAAACAATTTATCAATAAAATCTACAAAATCAGCTGTGTTTTTTGCTGTCTTACTTTTTAATTCATTGGTTTCAATACAAGTACGAATAGTAGACGCCATAGTGTGGCTAAATAACTGAACGGCTAATTTTACTCTCATTTTCTGAAATGAACTTGGGTTGATATGAGCTTCAGTGATTTTTAAGAGAGCTTTACTTTTTATATTTTTTTTGTCTATTTCATATGTTGCTTCAATATCACTAAAAACTGCAACTGTCATATTGTCCTTTTCAAAACTACAACCTATTGAATTATTTCTTAAACTTTTTATTAAGTGGGGAACATCAAAAATTGAATATATTTTATTATTTTCTACAAAGAAATAAGGATTGTTTTCATCTACGCCTAACGACTTTAATGCACTCTGATTGTTTGTGCCTTGGTCACAAACCAATACTTTAGGACACAATCCGCTTTTAAATAATTCACTTAGGACATCAATTATTAAATCTTTTAGTAATTTATGTTTTACTCCTGAATGAGCCAAAAAGTACGCAACTGGAAATTTCCACGGCGAATACAATCCTCGAGCCATAAAAACCATTACACAATTCGCACTTTTATTTGTTCGACCATAATGTCCAAAATCTTCAAATCCTTCAATGAAGTCATAGTCTTTTGAATATTCTAAAAATTCTTTTATGTACATTTCGTCAAAACTTATACTGCAACTTCTTTCATTATTTGTTTTATGTTCAAATTTTTTTTTAATGTGACTAAAAAATGTGCCACTTAAGCCAGGTAAAAATTTTGACTGTCCGATCCAACGACGAATGGTCGATGGAGCTGGTAAGTTTATATTTTGTAGCCTTAAAAAATTGTAGGCTGTTGGGGATTTGTAGAACAAAGTCAAAGCCAGATTTTTTTCTTCTAGTGTCCAAGGTATTTTCTTATTTCTAAGTTGCATTGTTACGATTGCTCTAGCATTTTTTGATCGAAATTGATGCGAATACATAAGACTTCGTAATGTGTTACGAGTCTTAAATCTTGTTACACGTTGTTTTAATTTACAAACTTGGATATTTTTATTACGTAGTTTAATTTTTTGTTGATCTATTTTTAATTTTAACTTTTTTTTTTCTTGGTGTGTCATCTTCATCCGAGTAAATCAACCTTTTTGAATTTGGTGTTGGCATATTTATTAAGTCATTTATAATTTTTCTTTTAGGGGTATCTGTAGTAGAAGATGGGCTTGGAAATATAAGCTCAGTCTTTTCATTTCTGGATCTTCCGTAAGTTTTAGTCGGAGTTAATGGTTTGTTGATATTGTCTACATCTTCATCACCTATACCTATATATAATTTTAACATATTTAATTTTACAGTCTCATTCATTCTTTCTTACCCAAAAATAAGATAAATTTTATGAGAAATCGTTTTAAAATATACGTTTTTGTATTATTGCAATTATTTTAAAGGTAGGCATTTTTCATCATTCGTGTAAGTGTACTTTATCATTGTCGTTGGACTTCGAACTTACTATACCACGATGTAGCCACGTAGGTCATAAAGATAAATAAGATGTGACAACCATATTATATACAGTGGCTATATAATTCAGTGTTTGTGGGAAAAACGTCGTTCAAATAACGTGTCAGATATGGTATCGGAAATGGTAAACCTCGATAAAATCAATCTTTTTCAGTTTTTTTTTAGTATTTAATAAGTGTTTTTGTATATTCTCTTAAAATTTTAACATGTCTAAAAGCTGATGTTTAATGATTATTTTTATCACAGTATCTCATTTTTGAATAGAAACGCATACGACCCTTGATTTTATAATATACAGAATATATACAGTACATATATTATAAAATCAATGAAACGGCTCAAGAAGTGGTTTCATATATTATTATATATCATGTATACAAGCCCGGATTAAGGATCAATTAGGCCTCGGGACACCATACACATAATACACATATTAACGAATTTATATTATTGTATAATTTTTTACTATAAAAAAAATATACAGGATGTATCTTATGTCATTGTATGCGTCTTTTTTTTTAACAATTATGATATGGAATTTCGTTAAAACAAAAAATGACATGTTTTTCTATTTTTAACGGGCAATTTTTTTATTACATTTTCAAAATTTTTAAACACGCAGTTGTACCAATAATAAAATTGACTTTACTTTTTCAAAGGTAACCACTTTGACCATGCCCCCTTGGCCCGCCTTAATTCGGGCTTGCGTGTATATTGTATAAATACAATTACTCTGCCTAATATTTTTTTTTAAATTTGATTAAAAATAAAATAATAAAAATTCAGTACCTGCAGAAGATGTAGATGGGCTTTTGTCTGAATTGTATTTATAAGGAATTGCATTTGATTTCAATTTGTTGTTTTTATAATTTAAAAAATAATCTGGAGAAAAATGCTCCTGGCATATGTAACGATTGTACAACTGTTTTTCGTCTAGTGACAATAAACTTAAATTTCCTATAGAATATTATTTCAATATATTTCAAACACATTTGTTAACTAATTAAAATAAAATTTATTTTTACCAGAATTAATTATCCAAGTTTCACGTCTTTCATCTTTTGGGATTCGAAACATTGATATATTGGGGAATTGTGTTGTTGTTTTAAAACAATTAAAGTATTGACATTTGGTACCCGGCATTTTTGAAAGTAGATAATTAAATAAGTATAAAATAACAAAAAATATTTTAATAAATCAGTTCTTAGAATTTTTAGATATAGTTACAATTCTTGAAAAACTTGAAATAAATCGAAAAATATATTGTATGACCAGTATGGCTTTGTGTCTTAGTGATTTACTGTGCAAATATCACAAACGATATAACAAAATACAATAACCCAGATAATGGTACTAGCACACAAACTACAGAGCACTAATGTACTAGACACTGCCCACTAGGTGTCTAGTTATCGTTTTCCGCAGAGTTTTAATTTCAAGTAATAATAAAATTAAAAATAAATACGATAAGATTAGGTAGGTATATAAAGTCGGTGTGCAAATAACGAAAATGATGGCATTACAAGCGCATAGTTTATTATTGGTTATTTGGTCACGCTACTCAGCGGCGGATCTTACCCACCACCTCCCTCTTATCCGTCCTATGGCGGGGTAACACCCTTAGATCATATACAATGGATAGAGCCATACGAACTATTTGTGAAGCCAACATCATTGTAGGACCTCGGTGATATGCGCATGCGTGTGGTCTCTTATCATTAATGTTTGGCACAGAGACGCAGAGTGCAGAGTCGCACTGCAGACGCGCAGTTAAGATAAACAGATTGATGTATTACGATAAGCAGTCGCGCATGCGCAGATGTCACAGGTCCTACAGTAATGTTGGCATCAACTCATTTTATACGCGTAGTATGCTATGACTCATCCATTGTATATGATCTAAGGTAACACCTCGGCTGCCAGCGGCCGCCGATAGCGCTTCATAGTGGCTGCCAGCGACTAACTGTTGCCGATTTTTTGCCTAGCACGGCTTATCTGAATATTATAAAATCAATGATATTGTGTTAAAAAACTTAAGACGATTATTCTGTTAATTTTATTTCAAATTTTAAATAAAACTGATAAAAAGATAAAAATTGTTTTTCTTTCGATTTTGTAACTTTGTAGTATTGTCCCGTTTTTTTTTTGTCGAGTCCCGCTTGTAAATATCTGGTTTCCCGCTTATCCGCAAATAAGAGTTGGCAACCCTAGTGGTGGGTGAGCTGTGTCAGCAGTGGTCTTTCGGGTGGCGGGGTGTCAGCGGTGGAGGGGTTCGGCCCGGTGTTGGTGCGGCGGGTGTTGGTGGCGGTGGCGTGTCGCCTCTATGGACCCACTTACTACTCGTTTTTGTTGGATCAAACGAGACTCTGTCGGATTTAACAAATTCTATTAAATTTATGAGTGCCAAATTTGATGATTTTGGTAAGCAGCTTAAAGAAGTACTACTTAATATTAAAGAACTAAAGAAGGAGAAAAAATTGTTAAAATAAAATAATATTAAGTTGAACTCTTATATCTACAATCTATCCAAGCGATTAAATTTATTAGAACAGAAATCAATCTTAAATCTTGTTGAGATAATTGGTGTACCAGATTTGAAAAATGAAAATGAAAATTGCGAAAAAAATAGTGGAAGATATCGCATCTGTAATGGGTCAACCAGTGTCAGTAATTACGGCTTTTCGTATAACCATCCAATTGACATTCTATATTATTTTCTTCTTCAGTGTCACACTCTTTTTCTTTTGTAAAATTTTCTGATAAATTGTTTCCAAAGGGTGTTTTGGTTTCTAACCAGTATCTCAAAGTTGAATCTTTAAGGCCTAGAGTACATACCACGGCATACAAATAATTTGTTATTTCCTACTTTTAAATAATAAATAAAAGTTCCATTTCTACGGGATGTCACACTTAATGAAGTTCTCTGTTTAGAAATTATTTTATTTACTAATGACAAAACAAAAATTTGTTTTTCCTTCCACGATGGCATTTTTTTCCAAACACTATTAAAAATATGTAGACGGTCGTCATCTTTGATAGTTGAACAATTTCTAGTTTTCCACTTTTCACAAATTTTAGATGTACAAGTTGGACCAATTTTTCTTTCACCTCTTAATGTGTCATGTATTATATTATTAGTACTTGTTTTTTCTTTTCGTCTATAACCCATATATTCCTCACCTCTAACTCGTTTTGATTTGTTTTCGTTCCTACTCCATGACTTGGGATTTGGACTAATATTCCGTTTCCTTCCAATATTTTGCAGATCATATTCACATTCATTTAAATTTTCAATTTCACCTTGATTATCAACATCAATAACATTACAATCATCAACTTCATTACGACCATCAGTGATATTACAGTCTTCAATAATTTGGACAAAATGCTGTGAATCATTTTCCAAGTAATTTAAATTAACAATTTCATTTTGATTACCAACATTAAGAAAATTACAATCATCAATTTCATTAATACCGTCAGTAATATTACAGTCTTCAATAGTTTGGACACAACTTTGTGAATCATTTTTCAAGTAATTTAAATTAACAATTTCATTTTGATCACTAACATTAAGAATATTACAATCATTAAGAGTATGGTTATCATCAATGAACTCAAATGCTTCAATGTCGTTTATATTAATATTATCTAAATTGCAATCTTCCACATTTACTTTTTTTGTGTATCTTCTAATTTCTTTTAGTTTTGACTTACCTTTTACAGCTTCAAACAATTCGTCAATAAATGTTTCATCAGTCTCGCTACTCTCACTACCAGTTTCAAAGTGTGACATGATTTTATAAGGACTATTCCTAGCTGGTTAAAAAAAAAATGATAACCTAAAATAATAAGTAACTAAAATTAATATTATGTAAGTGTACTTAAATATAATTAAAATCAAGTAATATAATATTATAAAATATAACAATATTATAAATTATATTATATTATTTTACATATTATTATTTATTACAACATAGCTCATCTCATATAATTTGTTTTGACAACAATACCTATCTCAAAAAATATATTACTATTTTTTTCAATTAATGATTTCAAATTAAATATTTGTTTGATGGTAATCATATGTTATATATTAATAATATTATACTCCCTAAAATTAATTTAAGGGCTAAAATAATGAAAATAAGACATAGTTTTTTAATAAACTTACTTTTTCAAACAGCTCGTCACACATAGTGGAATATCACGTGTTAATAAATGAGATATGTTATGTTGATACTTAAGAATGATATAAGTGGTGTTATCATTTTTGTAAATAACAGTGTAACCGCTAATCGCCAAGAAAATTCCCCTGATGTTTAAATGTTCGGAATCACTAATTTTATTAATATTGACAATAAACTCATTTTGTCAAATTTTGAGATACGCTTTGTTGCAGTTTAAACGACGATATGACTGTTAGATAAGAGACTCTATATTGTCGCGCTATACGATGACAAGCAAAGATGAGCAAGGATGGGGTGGGGTAAAATAAACGTCACGAACATAAGTGGAGGGTGGGGAGGGGTAAAATATACATCGCGCACGTGCGCGATCGGGCGGCGGTGATGACGTGGAGGGCGAGGGGATCAGCGGTCTGAACTGTCTATTTTATACTACTTACACACACATATATATATATATATGTGTATATACACTTAAATTGATTAATAGTAAGTTTCATACACAAATTATTATAATTTCAAAATCATATATTATCTACTATAACCAAGGTTTGTAAGAAATTTTTGATTTTGTTGTATGTACAAAATGTTTCATTTCTACGTATTGCAGTCGACGCACGATTCAATTAAATTTTTTTAAACATCATTAAACTACACTATATTGTATGTTTGAATTTGTATTGCTTAACAATGTCTTTTATATGTAATAAACATAATGAGGTTTGATTAGATATTTTGCCACCGCAAATAATTTTCATTGAAAAAATATTATGCAATTACTGATTAGTAATACCTAATTGATTATATATTATTTGTAATTTAAAAAAGGTGCTCTGCTGTACTGTAGGTTATAAGTGGGCACTGTATAATGGATGGTATTAAATTTGAATTCAATGATATAATATCATTGTATAAGAAAAACGATTCTGAGCGGAGACGGTATGTCCTTCTAGGTATAAGACATATTATATACATATCTATGGTATTAAAAATTGACCTATAATAAATTCCAAATTAATCATATCACAATATCCATTAGGTACTTATAAGCGTTATACATCAACAACAAACCGTGATACTATCATAGATATATAAATATAATAGTACACTTTAGAAGTTTCAAGTACCCACGAATAATATTATACAATCACAACAAAATAACTAAAATGGTTATTCTAGGTTTTTTAATATATAATTTACGTCCAAATTTGAATTTAAAATGTCTGTAAAAAAATAACTGTGTTCATATATTTTTTAGATTTTTTGGTTACAGTACGAACTATTCATGAGAACCTCTGTTTTAAATTTGCAGTCCTTAGCTATAAAAACTGAACATTTTATAATTTATTAATTACAATGATTGATAATTTTCGAGATTTTGATAAATTTTGTCAAAATTCGATGTTTAAATGCTTATAAAAAGAAATTGTGCATATGTATTTGAAATATTTTTCAACTGATATTGTAACAATATATCAGGAGCCTTGTATTAAATTTTTATACTTTTTGACCCAACAGATAAAACTTTATTGATATTTATAGAAAAAAAAAACTAAAAAAATTTAAAACTGAAAATGTCCGTAAACAGCTCAAAAAAAGTCAAAATATTTTCAAAATTGTAGTGTTTAGAAAATGCTAATATAAACATTCAGTGAAATGTTCATGTATCTACAGTTATTCGTTTTAGAATTACAACAAAATAAGGAAATCGCTATATGAGAAATTGACTGAATCTCCAATGTTGTAAAAATTTGAATTTCAAACACTCATAAAAATTTAATTTGACTTTCTTATAGACATTTTTTTTGATAAATGTAGATAATCTTATAAGGAATCTTGTATTACATTTTCATATCTTTTATTAGCCATTGGTTAACAATTAATGTTACCATTAATATTATTCATTAACTAATAATACCAACAATAATTTGTTCGAGCCTATGCATACCTACCGTTTTAAAGGAGAGTTATGCAAACTTATAAATATGATAACATCTGTTATATATATGTTGTAATATAACTTAGGTTAGGTTATGTATATAAAAAAACATTTAAAAATAACTGTTGTTATATATATATTTTTATACATAATTTATACATTATTCATTCTGGAAATATATACAAACACAAATTAGAATTAGACAATAAAAAGAACACAAAAATTAGTACACAGGAACTTTTTATAGCTTACCACTAGCTTGCCGTCATCCTATAAACAATGTATTTAAAAACATTTATAACTAACATGTATACTACAAATATATTACAATATTATACTCACTCCTACATTCATAGAGGCCATATCGTGGCCCATAGATGACACAGCACTCGAGCCACGGTCATGGCCCGAGTGCTGGTGCGAAGTTCTGGCACCATTCCCCAACGACGGGGGGGCCGAGTCCCGCAGCCGCTGTGAGGTCATCTGTCTGGAAGGAGACCGGTCTCGCCGCCGGAGGGGAGACCGATCTCGCCGCTGGGGAGAGGACCGGTCACTCCGCCGAGGAGGGGGACCGGTCTCACCGACGGGGGGGGACCGATTTCGCCGTCGGGGGGGGGACCGGTCCCTCTGCACTTTTGGTCTCCTGCCTGCATAATAAATAATATTTTAGAATTTTAGATGCATTGCCTACGATCACATATATAATATACACAAAATACACTTACAATGGCGGGCCAGGTGGCCAAGTTTTCTGCAATTGTAGCATTCTGAAAAAGAAAAGCGAACAACATTACCATGTTTATCCAAAGACCTATAAACTAATGGACAACGCTTAGAGAGAGAGGTAAGAGGTCCAATATACAGTATTAGTTTCGTAAGTCTATGATTTCCCACATTATGTTTTTTCTCTCTTTCTCTTATATGATTCCATCAAGATTCCCCCACTATGTTCCTTCTTACTCACTCTATATTGGCGTTACTCAGTGATGGTTGGGTGGTGAGGGAGGCGCAATCCATTAGTTTATAGGTCTATATGTAAGAAAAAAAGTCCCCGGAAAATAGTCCCCGGTAAAATAGTCTCACGGAAAAAAAAAGTCTCCAAATTACTATTTGATTTCAATTCTGTCTTTTATCATATACCTAGGTATTTATTAAGTACATAGCCCATAGGTAAAACATGTTACATATTTGTATTGAAAATTATTAACAACAATCAACTAAATTAAATAGATACCTTTCTAGGATTAAAAATTATTGTAGATAAGTATTTATATACATAATTAAATACATTTTAAATTTATTGAAAATAATATAATATCTTAAACATATAATAATATATAAGATTTGTCAACCCAATTTATTTAGAAACATAGATATACCAGTATATAACAGTATAGAGGAAATATCGTTTTATTTATTCTACAATGAGATACTTTGTTTCCGTGGGACTTTCTTACCGGGGACTTTTTTCCCGTTTACCGTATATACGTCATGACAATTGACAATATTTATACATACTTTTATGGCGCCTTCACAGCTCACCGTGAAACGTGAAACGTGATAATAGAGAGTTTTTGCACAACGTCCGTTAAACACTCCGGTAAAAATAACGTTCGGTTAAATTATACGGTAATATAATAACGTTGTAATTGAAACTTTAGTTTTTGCATTTACCGGATGCTAAAATTTCGTAAAACTTTTTTATCACATGTAAGTTGTAACCATAACCATAGACATATAAACAGGTTTATGGGTCCAACCATTTTGATAATCGCAAATTGGATTTTTCAATTTTACATTTTTACAATCATAATATTATAAGTAGGTAGGTAGGTAATAGGTATTAAATTTGGTATTAACAACTACTATATTATACTATACGATTTAGGGTATAGAGTATAATATGACATCGGACATACGTATATAGTGTTTGTTGCCTTTTGGTATTACCTATTAAGTACAACCATTTAAGTTTTACTTTTATTGTAATATAATAATATTTAGTGTAATACACTAATATGGAAGAATTGTTAGAGTTGGTGTGTTTGGAAGAAATAACAGTTGATGACGTAGAATGTATTTTATTAAATGATTTAATACCTATAACATCAATATTAATATGAATGAACTTACTTTTTTAAATTAGCCCGATATTCTTTACTCCACACTTTCAGCAGATGTTCTACATGCTCTTTAATTGAACGAATCGAAAAATTCTTCTTAGATGTTGAGACTATAGTGTCTTTTATAATATTCCACTGATTAGTGTCATTATAAGGATTTAAACATATGACTTGGCGTAATAAGCACAAGTCATCTGTCGTTGAAAATCTCAATCTTTCTTTTTTAATTTCCATTTTAAACTTTTTATAAACTTGAACTTGAACTTTCAAGCTCCAAATCGTCTTTCATATAACAATTAAGTACCTATTAGGTATGGTATATGTTAGTGTAATAAAATATTTGGTTATGGACTATGGTTATGAAACAATGGTTTGAAATTATAATTAATAATAAACAATATTATCTACCATTATTTATTAGTATTCATCAGTATTTTATAAATTGTGTAGATACAAGAAGTTAAATATTTCAAACACTTTCATTTAAAAAAAAAGTGGGATACTAAACACCGGTATTGGCTGATAAAGAAAACAGCTGTGATCA